GGACAGTGGGTGGGTACGGGACAGTGAGCGCCGCGGGACAGTGGGCGGGTACGGGACGGTGGGTGCCGCGGGACGGTGGGCGCCGCGGGACGGTGGGCGGGTACGGGACGGTGGGCGGGTACGGGACGGTGGGCGCGGCGGGACGGTGGGCGGGTACGGGACGGTGGGCGGGTACGGGACGGTGGGCGCCGCGGGACGGTGGGCGGGTACGGGACGGTGGGCGCGGCGGGACGGTGGACGCCGCCGGACGGTGGGCGCGGCGGGACGGTGGTTGCAGCGGGGCGTCCCAGGCCCGCGGGGGTCTTGGCGCCCCGAGGAGCACCGGGAAGGGCGGGGTCCAGTCACGTGGGCCGGAGGCCAGGGTGGCCGGGGTGGTCTGTGTGGGGCCCGTCAGACCGGTCCGGACACGAGTTCAGGCAGCCCGGCCCCGATTTGGGGAGAACTGGGCGCTGCGGGGCACCCGGCACGCCGGAAGCCGGCGACAGAGGCCCACTGCGCAGGCGCCGGAAGCCCCGCCCGCCGCCCTGCGTGCGCCTTTGGCGCATGCGCCAAGTGGGCAGGGACCGGCCGTGAAAATTTTATTCCCCAGAAGCCTTCGCGCTCTAGGGTTTCCCGAAAGACCCGGTTCGGATGTAACCAATCCTCGGCTTGGGCCTCCCTGGCTCTGAACTGAGGGGCCGAAAAGGCCCAGCTTCGGGGGCGGGGCCTCCTCCCTTACGGGGCGGGGTCTCATCCCTTACGGGGCGGGGTCTCGAGGAGTGGGCGGGGCTTGCGGCCTGGTGCGTCCTCGGGCGCGCGCCGGGTGGGTAGGTGAGCAGGGCCTGCGGCGGAGCTGGGCTCCAACCCTCCCCGGGCCCAGGCTGCCTCAGTTGCCCCACCATCATGCCAGGCCCCGTAAGGGCCCCTCGAGCAGCCCCCCGTCACCCGCACACCGCTCCCTACTGCTCTCTGAGTGACACTAGCCCGAGGCCCCACGGAGGGGCCAAGCCAGACCCTAAGGGCAGGGCCGCTCCTCCAGCCTGGTTTGCCCACGTGGGCTCCGGCACAAGGGGCAGCGTGCCCTCTGGCTCAGCACTCTGCAGGTCCTGTGGCTCTGCCTAGAGCGGGAGCGGTCCGGCCAGTCCAGCGGAGAGCGGGGCTGAAGGAAGCCAGGCTGTGCAGGGCCTGGTGCTGGGTCCGGAGCGGGTCACAGCGAGCAGCAGAGGCCCTCGAAGGCCTGGTCCACTGCCCGGCGGTGACCGGCAAGCCCTGGGTCCTTCCCTTGCCCGCAGGCTCTGCAGGCAGAAGGCGGACCCAGGCGGGCAGAGCAGCCGGGGCTGAGGAAGCGGAGAGGCCCGCCCTGCGCGCTGGTGGGCGAGGCTGCCCGCTGAGTGCCCGGGCCACCCTTCCTCGGGCAGGTGCGGTCCTCAGGGCCGCCTCTGCCCCGCGCGGGGCTGCCAGCCTATCTTTCGCACACTCCCACCCGGCCCGGCCGTCCGCTGCCTCAGCCTTCTGCCCCGCTCGTGCCCCTTAGGTTCCCAGCGCCCTCTCTGAGCAGCCGCACCGGGCACGGGCGGGGCTGGAGGCCTCGGGGCCTTTCCTGGGGTCGGGGTTGGGGGGCGCCGGTGCGCCCTGGAACCAGCTCCCCTGGGACCCTCCTTGCGGGTCCCCTCCCTCCCGCTCCAGCGTCCGGAGGCCTCCTAGTGTGAGGAGGAGAACGGCCGATTCCCCCACAATTTGGGGAGGCTTGACCAGGACCCAGGGTCAGCCTAGGCAGGAGGGGAGCGGAGAACTGGGGGCGACGCGGGGGTCCTGCCCCCTACGCAGCCCGCGGGCGAGGGCGACGCCAGGAACGGACTGAGGGGCGGCCGGGAGGCTGGCCCCGCCCCGCGGACCCCGCGCGGGTCCCCAGACGGGGGGTGGCGCTGCGGGCGCGGGCGGGCGCCGCGCGCACTGCGGTCCCCGCGCCTCCGCCGCAGAGCGCGCCACGCTCCGCACGCACCTGCCGCCGCCGCCGCGCCGAGCCCCGCGCCCCGCGCCCCGCGCCCGCGCCCCTGGGTGCCGCCCGGGCCCGGCCATCGCCCGAGGTCGCCGCAGCTTCGCCGGAGCCGCCGGAGCCCCCCGAGCTGCCGGGCCGAGGCGCGGGCGCCGCGTCCGGGCCTGCCTTTGAGACAACCTCTGCGGCGGCGGCGCGCGGCCGGGACGCCAGGCTGGGGCAGGTGAGCGCAGGGGGCGGGGGCCGGGGCCGGGGGCGGACTGGGCGCCCCTCCCCACGCGGCGGGGGTCGGCCCTCGGGAAGGTGCGTCCGGCCTTGGAGGCGGGGATCGGGGAGGGGGCTGGGTTCCGAAGCCCGCGGAGGTCGGGATCCCGCGGCTGAGGTCAGGGTCAGAGGTCGGGCGCTCGGGCCTTTGTGCGGGCAGAGGGCGAGGGTAGGGGTGGCCTGGGCACTATCCTCACGGCGTCTCTCACCTGCAGCTCAGGCCCGGCCCAGGCCTTGCCTCTGCTCCTGCCGCGGAGCCTGCTGCCCGGGTCCTTCTGCAGCCAACGCTCCGGCTAGCTGCCTTCCCTGGGCGCCCTGTCCTGGAGCCATGGGGCCCACCCAGCCCCTGCCTGCCCCGATGTCCCAGCCCGCGGCCTGCTGACCTCGGCTGCCGGGGGAGCCCCCCCCCACGCCCCCTCGCCAGCCTCAGCAGCCAGAGACCCTGGGTGAGACCCTGGGCCCGACGCCCAGCCCAGGGCAGCCTCCCACGCCCCCCTGCCCCCGCCTGCCTCCCCCTCCCCCACCCCTTCCTCCTCCTCCCAGGACTGGACCAGGGAAGCCACTGTGGCCAGTGGGGGGGCCCCTGCGCCCCCAACTCTCGCCGGCTGCCCCTAGAAGTCCACGGGCCAGCCGGGGCCCCCCCCAGGTCTGGTGGGACCAGGATGCTGCCCCATCACCTCCCCCTCAGCCCCACACCACGCCGCCACCCACCCGAACACCCAGTCTGACTGGAGACAGCCGGATGCCCTCTGAGCCTGGGCCCGAGGCGGGCAGTGGCTGGCCGGGCCTCCTCATGTCCTGCCTGAAGGGTCCCCATGTCATTCTCAAGATGGAGGCCATGAAGATCGTGCATCCCGAAAAGTTCCCTGAGCTGCCGGCTGCCCCCTGCTTCCCGCCTGCTCCCCGGCCCACCCCCACTCTGGCACCCAAGCGTGCCTGGCCCTCAGACACAGAGATCATTGTCAACCAGGCGTGTGGGGGGGACATGCCTGCCTTGGAAGGGGCGCCCCACACCCCGCCGCTGCCACGGCGGCCACGTAAGGGCAGCGCGGAGCTGGGTTTTCCCCGCGTGGCCCCCGAGGACGAGGTCATTGTCAATCAGTACGTGATTCGGCCTGGCCCCTCGGCCTCGGCAGCTTCTTCGGCAGCAGTAGGTGAGCCCCTGGAGTGCCCCACCTGCGGGCACACGTACAATGTCACCCAGCGGCGGCCCCGAGTGCTGTCCTGCCTGCACTCCGTGTGTGAGCAGTGCCTGCAGATTCTCTATGAGTCGTGCCCCAAGTACAAGTTCATCTCCTGCCCCACCTGCCGCCGAGAGACTGTGCTCTTCACCGACTACGGCCTGGCCGCGCTGGCTGTCAACACGTCCATCCTGAGCCGCCTGCCGCCTGAGGCGCTGACAGCCCCGTCCGGGGGTCAGTGGGGGGCCGAGCCCGAGGGCAGCTGCTACCAGACCTTCCGGCAGTACTGTGGGGCCGCCTGCACCTGCCACGTGCGGAACCCACTGTCCGCCTGCTCCATCATGTAGTAGCGCCTGCCTGCCCGAACACTGCCCGCTGAGCCTCGATCGCCGCTTCTTCAGGGACCCGGCCCTGCCCTGCCGCCCGCTGACCCTTCCTTCCCCACCATGGCTTCCGGCCCCACCCCAAGTGGCACTGTCATTGCAGCCAACTTTGCCATTAAAACTCTTTGCCAAAGTTTGCACCTGTTCCCTGGACTGAAGCTTGCTCCCGTGGGCTGTGCTCAGGCCTGGGCCTAGGGTGGCACCCAGGGCGGCCGCCCGGACAGGGCTCAGCTTGCAGCTGCCAGAGAGAGGCCCAGCACTGCTGGGGTGGGCCTGCTGTGCGCGCTGGGGGCCGGGCTGGGCTGTGCGTGCAGCTCAGGAGGGCTCTGTGGGCTGTGAGCATGGGTGTAGACACCCACAAGTGCAGAGTGGGCTGCTTGTGGGTGCCTGGCAGGGCTAGGTGGCGGGTGTGCAGAGCCACCCCAGCTGGGCAGAGGACATTTTCGATGGTGTGGGGGACAAGCCAGTTGATTTCACTCCTGGTGCCTACCTGGCCCTGAGCACCCACCTGGGTCTTCCAGTGTTGTGCGGGAGTAGCCTTTGGGCGTCTGTGCAGGGGTGTGGGACAAATGCTGGCCAAGATGGTGGTGGGGGAATAAGGACCCAGGGCCTCCTGTCTGGCACCTGGACCACCTGGGTGTGAGGAAGAGGCTGCCCCAGGCTGGGCGAGGTGGCTCACGCCTGTAATCCCAGCACTTTGTGAGGCTGAGGCGGGCGGATCACTTGAGGTCAAGAGTTCAAGGTCAGCCTGACACACATGGTGAAACCCGTCTCTACTAAAAATACAAACAAGTGGGCATGGTGGCACATGCCTGTAATCCCAACTGCTAGGGAGGCTGAGGCAGAACTGCTTGGACTCGGGAGGCAGAGGCTGCAGTGAGCAGAGATCATGCCACTGCACTCCAGTGAGGGACAGCGGGGTACTCTGTCTCAAAAAAAAAAAAAAAAAGCCCGCCTGGACAGTGAGGCTGGGGTAACAAAAACAAGCAGTGACAATGGCGTTCCCAGGAGCCGGTTTATTGGAAGCTGCTTTGCATTGAGCCCAGTGCTCCGTCTCTCACGGTCACCCACAGACCCGATGTCTCCACCCTTTTCCACGAAGGCCCCAGGTGTGGCAACGTGAGGGTGTGCAGGGGCAAAGCTGGGGCTGGTGCTTACGTTCTAAGGCCTGGGTGGACCCTTGTCCCTGCAACAGGCCAGTGCTGACCCCCAGTGGGTCTCAGCCTGAGCAGGTGGGGAGAGAAGCCTTTGTAGGCGGAGTTTTCACAGCATAGGCCCCTCCCCCGGCTGGCCTGACCTTCAGGGACATGCAGTGGCCCTTATCTGAACACAGAGTGGGCGGAACCCCTGTCCTCCCCAAGGAACGGACTGACTGCAGCTCCATTAACCTTCATGTCTGCTGTGCTCGGCCGGCCCTCGGAAGGGGAAGTGTGGCCAGCATCAGCCATGGCCATAGGGTGCCTGTCTACCACTGGGTGCATGGGGCCCTGCTCAAAGACCTTCCTGCTGGGCTGGCTCCTCCAGCAGCTGTCCTTGGGCACCGGCGTCCAGGGCAGCCATGCACTCTGGCAGGGTCAGGCTCCAGGGTGGCCCGTCTTGGGTTCAGCCATGGAGGTCTTGATTGAAGGGCAGTACCCTGGACCCAACCTTGGGTTTTTCAGCCTGGTCTTCAGGTCTCACAGCACCCAGTGGCGATGTGGGCCAGGCTGGGCCCACTGGCGTCAGGGCCATCCTGGGCTCTGCTCAGCGGCCAGAGCGGTCCAGGAGCAGGAAGAGCAGCCCCAGCAGCACCAGCGGCACGAAGACCAGCAGCAGCCCCAGCAGCTCGAGGGCCAGCAGGCTCAGCAGCGCCACGCGGCGGGCACAGGGTCCCTGCTCCCGCAGGGTCCAGAGCCAGGCACCCAGGCAGGGCGGACAGGGCAGGAAGGGCAGGCAGCCGCGGCCACCCACGGGCCCCGCCAGAAAGCGCAGCTGGTAGCGGTGCTCCAGGGAGCCCCAGGGTCCAGGGTCGCGGTGCTGGGGTGCGGGGGCCTCTCGGGGGGACTGGCGTGGGGGCCCGTCGGCCAGCAGCAGCTCCTCCTGCAGCTGGCAGATCTCCCACTCCGGCATGGGGGTCTTCTGGCGGCACAGTGGGCAGCGCACCCAGCCCAGGTCGGAGCTCGGGGCCGAGCCCAGCAGCCTGCGCAGGCAGCCCACACACAGGCCGTGGCTACAGTTCAGCAGGGCCAGGCGATGCTCCCTGGGTCCATAGGGCTCAGTGCAGATGGGGCACTCTTCTTCCCTCTGCCCTGCTGCCTGCTCTCCCCGCTCCTCCTTCCAGGCTGGAAGGGCCCAGGCACCCTCCATGGCCACAGCCTCCAACAGGGGCTCACTGGCTGGAGTCTCAGCATCTTGGGGGAGCCCAAAGTCATCCCCTTCACCCACTGGTGCTGGGCACAGTGGGTTCAGGCACTCAGGGCCCAGAGAAGCCCCAGGTGGACTGACAGGCCCAGGGTGGGAGTCAGCAAGGTGGAGGCCAGGGACCCCAGGGCACAGCTCAGGGGTGGTGGTCCTGGGGGAGGAGTCAGGATAGGCGGCCAGGGACCCCAGGGTGGCGACAGGTGCAGACCTCCAGGGCAAGCAGGGTCTGGGCTCCACTGGGTCTGGCACTGACCTGGCTGGCTCTCTCACTGGACAGGAACTACGCTGGGGCCCCGGCAAGGCTGGCCTGCTGAGTGGATCCTGTGCCCTTGCAGTGCCGTCCCCAGCCCAGCCTCGGCCACGTCTAGTCCCCTGCCAGCAACCAGCCGACCACAGATAAGAGACTCCGAGGAGAGGACGGCGAGGCGGTGTGATCAGCAGGACTCCTCCAGCGGGACTTCCCTTCCTGGTGCCTAAAGCCCCTCCCAGGGGCGGGGCCGTATCCACCACACCCTCTCCCACCACTGCTTCCGGCAGCCTCAGCTCCCAGGCAGGACGGACGGCTTAGCTCTGCCTTCCAGCACCTGCCCAAAACCGTCCTGACGATCAGATCTCAGCTGACCCACCAAGCCTTTGAGAATGAAGCAGGCAGGGAACTTGTCACGTCAGAGGCAGGCAAGAGCTGCCACTCGGGTACAGGCAGGCCAGCAAGTGCACCATGGTGCCCACCTCCCCCCCCCCCCCCCAGGGGACCCGACCAGCAAAAGGAAGGAAGCCTGTGCTAGAAGCAGCCACCCAGAGGCCAGCAGCTCCTGCCAAGGCTTTCCTGGGACCAGGAGAGAAAGGGGCTGCTCTGGCCTGGGACCCCCTACTGCTCTAAGGGAGCTGCTTTCTTGTGGTCTGAGCCCAGCCTCAGCCGTGTGGGGGTGGTGACTGCAATGTGCTGCCCAGCAGGCTGCAGTGGCCAAGGTGGCCCCAGGGCGGAGTGCAGTGTGGCCTCATGGGGGCCCTGTGCTGCCCCCGGTGCCCAGTGGGCTGCTCACGCCATCTTGGGCCGCTGCACCGGTGAAGTGGAGCAGCCCAGGCCACCACCTTGACCAGGAAGAGGGTGGGGGAAAACGAGGACACAGCTCACAGTCAGGGTGGGGAGGGGAGGGCTGGCTGGCAGAGGCCGCAGGGGAGTCAGGGCTCAAAGGGTGGGACCCAGCGTCGACGAGGGTGTGGCTGTGCTTAGGAGCTGCTGTTGCCCCAACCAGCTGGGACCTGGAAGCACCACCCCTGGTCCGGGAGGACGATGCCCTCCTGGGCTCCCAGGAGGATCACGGGCAGCCAACGGGCTCAGGCCCATGTCTCAGTCTGAAAGCGCCGTGTCCGCTGGAGCCTGGCTAGATAGGCGGTGGCGTCAGAGCTGCAGAGTCCGCCCTCCTCCTGGAAGATGGACACCAGGGCTTCCGAGACATCCGCTGGCATGGACTTGGCATTGCTAGAGGGGTGGTGGCAGAAGGCGCGTGAGGCTGGGCCTAGGGCTGGGCCCGCTCCCGCCGCACCTGAGACTGCTCACCCTGCCAGGTAGAAGTGTGCACCCTGGCGGTCCAGCAGCTCCCACACCAGCTTCCCCCGCTCCCGGAGCCGGTGCTGCACATACACTTTCTGCTCCTGCAGGGCAGAGGGCAGGGTGGGGCTGAGTGTGAGCCCCTCTCCTCCTTTCTCAGCCCCCGAGCACACACACGCACCTGTTCCCGGGAGAAGGCAGGGACCAGGGTCAGACAGCCTCGCTTCTCCAGCTCCTGCCACTCCGCCTTCCAGTAGAAGTCTTGGTCCCGCCAGCGGCAGCCAAAAAACAAGACGTTTCCTAGGGGAACGCAGGGGGGTCCTTGAACTGCTGGAAGCCCCCACCACAACCCTACCCCGGGACCCCGGGCACTCACTGGTCCGGTCCTGGGCCACGCGCTCCTGGATGGCTGCTCGGAAGGGGGCTACCCCGGTGCCAGGCCCCACCATAATCACAGGCACGTCTGGCATCTCTGGGAAGGCCAGACTCCCAGGCCGCACCCAGAGAGGAACCCGGACAGGTCCTATGCAGGAGAGAGGTGGTGTGAAGAGGCTCAAAGGCGGCTCGGAGTCTGCTGGGGCCCTAGCCCAGCATCTGTGTGGGCATGGGAGAGAAGGGGACATGGGGCCACGGCCCCCACCCTGGGAGCAGGGGTCACCTTGCCCAGGGTCCAGGGATGCCAGCCAGGAGGAGCAGAGGCCCCGGCGGGGCTCCTTGAGGCGAGTCTGGAACTGCACTACAGCCACGAGGATCTGCAGCCGCGAGGGGTGAGCCTAGGGAGGACGGCGGCGGGGGTGAGCCTGGGGAGGACGGCGGGGAGGGGGGGTGGGCCTAGGGAGGATGATAGGGTAGGCATGGTGGCACAAGGCTGCCTGCATCTGCTGCCTGGGCTGTGGGCCCAGCCACTTTACCCAGGGGCGGTCCTGGGTAGGGGACCGTCACCTGGTCAGAGCACAGCTTCTGCCCACAGAGCCCTACAGCCCCGTCCCAGCTTTCCCGGGGCCCCTCACCAGCATGGAGGAGGCGATGGAGAAGGCCCTCGGCCGGATAGCGGGGATGAGGTCCAACAGGTAGTCCGGGGGGATGGCGGCGGCTGTGTGTGGGAAGTCACACAGCACCTGGGCAGAGAGAGTCTCGGAGTGGCTGCAGTGTGGCCCTGGCTCAGGGGCTGGGCCCCACCAGCCGCGTTGACCTTCCTCACCTCCACAATGGTCCTGCGGGGCCGGTTGCAGTATTCAAAGAGCTCCTCCTGGCCCTGGGCAGAACTGAACTCCAGCAGCTTCTCCTGCTCCAGCTCATGGGGGGACAGACAGGCCAGGAGCTCAAAGAAGGAGCGGCGAGGCACGCTGGTGATGTCCAGGTACTGGGACACGAGGTGCCGCACGGAGCAGGGCTGGGGCAGCCTCGTGGGTAGGAGGGCATCTACAGGGTGAGCGGGAGCCTCTGTGGGCTGCGGTGGGGCCCTCGGGGTAGCGGCCCAGGACACGGGGGAGGGAAGAGAGTCAGGCTGGCTGAGGCTGGGCTCACCTGGCTCCCGCGGCTGCAGCGTGAAGAGCTGGTCAGGGTCCAGGCCCAGCGCCTGGCAGAACTGCTGGACGTGGGCAGCTGAGTTGGAGGGCTGAATCAGCACCACATCGCCGGCAGCGAAGCTGTGAGAAGAAGCCAGCAGGGGCCCCAGATGGAGGCCATCCCCTGCAGCCCAGCCCAGCCTCCTCTGGACCCCAGCAGTCCCCTCCACCACCTGCTGTCTCGGGCCTCACCTGATGGCAGAGCCTGAGATGTCAAACTCAATCAGCCGGACGTCCTGGAAGTGGGAGGGGCCGGTGACTCTCTGGTTGGAGATCATGGGTGCCAGGAAGGGATGCAACTCCGACGGGGGCTCTCTGGAGTCAGGGTGAGCCACCTGCTGCCCCTCAGAGCCCGCACTAGGCACCTCGTGGAGGAACCGCAGGCTGAACTTGGAGGGCAGGCTGTGGGAGGGCAGGCTCTTCAGACCAGAAACCCCCCGACCCAGGGGCTGCCCACACTCACAGGAGAGACCCAGGTGAGGTCCCCAAGCCGCCTGCGGGTGACCCGAGGCCATACTCACGGGACTCCGGGAGGGATCTCAGCAAGGCCCGGAGGCGGTGGGCACAGCCCCAGAACCTTGCCCCATAAGTCTCGCAGCCAGGGGTCCACAGCAGCATCGGGCCTGGGAGGGGGCACGTGTGCTGGCCTGAGCGGACCTCAGGCATGGCCAGGTCAGACCATGGCTGCAGGGCCAGCCCCGAAGACTCACCCCAGCTCATGCTGGTCATCCCCCAGGCACACGGGCAGGAGGGCACTGCCCCCAAGCTGCAGGAGCCGTCGGTGCAGCTTCTTGGCCACAAAGTTGAACCTGCAGAGACAGCATGGTTGGTCCCGGGCTGGAGCCTGGCAGAGCGGAACCCAGGCAGGGACTTCCTCAGGTGGCAACACTCCATGCTGGCCACGCCCTAGGAGGGGGCAGGGTCTCCACACGCCAGGGGCTGCTGAGACCAGGCAGCCGGCAGGGCCCTGAGCAGCAGGTCCTCTGCTTGTGGAGAACCAGCCTGTGTGGGCGGAGGCGTGTGGCCTCGTGCCACTAATGGGCCCTCATCTCTGGACAGGGAGTTGAGGCAATGGAGGCCTCCAGGCCCCCAGCCACGGTGTGGCTCACTCCTCAGCGAAGAAGCTCTGGGTTGGGGAGAGGGCCAGGCATCTTCTTGGGGGTCAGTTTCGCTTCTCACTCTGGTTCTGAGGCATGACGGGCCCCAGGTCCCGCTCCTCCCTGGGAATGCGGTCAGCAGACTCCTCCCTGGGAATTCGGTCAGCAGACAGGCTCCCTCCCTCGCCTGAACACATCATGCACAGAACAAGCCTCCCGGCAGAACGGGTGGACTGCCCCGGCCTTCCTGTTTCCTTTCATCTGAAGCGATGAGACCCCGCTACGCACACGGCTTTTGATGCTCGGTGCTCGTGGACCTGGGCCCTACATGGACAGCCGACGGTTTCAAGGCTGTGGGGGTCTAAAAATACCATTTGCACACTGAACATGCTACTCCTTGCTCAGGGGCAGGTGAGCCCTGCGAAATGCCCAGGGGAAAAGGCGGAGGCAGCCGCTGGGGCAGCAGCAGGACACAGGGCCCACCTCCACCTCTGAGTCGTGAACAGCCCATGGCACACGTGTTTGTAACAGTGGGAACTGGTGCCAGGCAGGCTTCTGTGATGTCAGCATGGCTCTGAGCCCAGCCTCTGCCACCCTGCCTGCTTCCCTCTGTGCCCTCCCACAGTGTGATGGCTGGGGCACCCGCCAGGGAGTATCTTGGAGAAGCCAGTGCCGCTGCAGGGCCGACCCTGAAAGCTGGTCTGGCAGCTGGACCCCCAGAACCGTCCTGTCCCCTACTCACTTGGCATATGAGGAGTCCCCGAGGCCCAAGACAGCAAAGTCCATCTGACAGAGGGCAGTGGAGGGCAGATTCTTCCGGAATATAAACCTCCAGAAGTTCTGCAGCCGGAGGAAACCCTGTGTCAGTCCCCAACCTCTGGGCCAGCCCCAAAGCAGGGAGTGAGGGGAGGGTCTCAAGGGAACAGGGAGAGGACAGGAAGCGGCAGAATGGAACTGGATCTGACGAAAAGGCAAGGCCCAGGCCCAGCCAGCAGGGCGAGGGGCACTGGGAGGAGGCACGGCTGGTGCAGGACCTAAGACCAGGGCCCACCCTGCCCACAGGAGCCAGACAGCCTGCTCCGCACTCTGGCCTGTGTGGGGCTCCCTTCCTGGGACGTCACTCTTCCCTGCCCCCGGCTCTGAGCCGCCATAAACAGCTCTGCACTTGCTCCTCAAACTGTGTACCTCCACCCGTCACTTCCCAGCCAGAGCATGGGCCTCTGCTGCCCGAATGGGTCCATCTCAGAGACCCCCACACCCGGACCTCTGAGGCCCACACCCGGACCTGTTAGGCCCATCCCAGAGACCCCCACACCCAAACCTGTTAGGC